AATAAAATTCATCTTCTTGCTCTTCGCACTTGCACTGCCCTTCCTTTTCCAGAGAATATTTTCAATATGTATRCATTTTCACAGAAACAGCCAATGAAAAATTCAAACCCTACATCAAAAGGACTTTCCTAGACAGTGTAGTCTAGCAAAGACAGGAATCTTTTTGAAAAGGTGCAATTTGTTCTCTTATCCATTAAAGCTGAGAGGTTTATTTAAAGGCTGATGCAAGCAAGCATAGCTGCCTTCAGACTTCTTCAGTAACTTAAGGCAGTTTGCTAATCACTAAGTTAACTAGGAATGTCATGTGGAGATGTATTTTGAAAAGCAACGTGTGCAATACAGACTCTTCTGATGACAGGAGCCCTTGCTGAATGGCAACTCAGCTCTCCCAAAGTAAATATGTGAAAATGCATGTAAATCTTCCCTTGACACCCACTTTTCACAAATAAATCAATTTCTCCAAAAAACCCCACCCTTTTGGATGAGCCAAACTTTGGTCTCAAGCAAAGTTGCRGAATGGTTTGAGTATATTCCAACTAATAAGGTTTTCAGCCCTTAAACACTTGTATTTCACTTCAAATTAATCTTTGCCAGATGAGCTCCAGGCATCACTAAAGCAGAGTGAACTGGTTGCATAAAGCTTCAAGTTCAGTTCCTTGTGCCCCTGGTCACAACAGTACCATAACAACTCATACATAAAACTGAAAATTTCCGTATCCTCCACACGCTTCCTACTAATTACAAACAGTTCCATGGAAAGACAAGGAGGTGACATATTCGCATGTTGTGAAAAATACTTAATTGATTTCTTTTTCAAGCACTATTCAGTGGCCAGACAACAGTCCATATGCAACTGTAACATTTATTTTAGGAATGACATGCCAAATAGTCACATATATAGTATCATGAGGTAAAATCAAAAGAGAAAACACCAAATGAAATTAAACATGATGAGAAATAGAACGAGCTTTGCCAGTTTTCATTGTGAAACGGACAGAAGTGCACACACACACACAAAAGTGTCAGCACTGAAGAAATAAATTGAACATTTAGCATTTTCTAAATTAGCACATCGAAGATTCAAGTTACACAGTAGAGAAGAAATAAAATAAAAAGTATTTCTGAAACTATATCCTCTTCAGTGACAATACTGCAAARGCAGCAAAATGCATCATTTCAAGCTCCAGGAGAGAGCACACTTAACACTTAAAACACTCAGACACATTYTTTTTTTCCTGATTCCAGTAAGGTTGAGGGATGACTTACATTGTTTAAACTAAGCAGACCAGATGACCCCTGTATCYTGGTAGGATGGGAAGAAACATGCGAGTAGAAGAGGCAGTTAGCACTCTTATTGAGCACAACGTGGAATTACTCATTAAAATCAATTATTTATTTTTTTAAATACATTGCAAAGTTGGCAGGATTATCCAAGGCCCACATCTCTTAAGTGAACTGACTTCATTGTAATACTAAAAATTACACACATTAGTGAAGAAAAATCTCACCCAGGTAAAGACCCTTCCCTGAGCACGTGTAATAGCGGGCACAATGAGGGAGCAATATTATAATTGTTCATAAACTACTAACCTGTCAGTGTAAGGGGGGTGGATTTAGGAAATTACTGAGCGTGTAAATGCGGCTTGCAAAGTCAGGAAGTTGGACTGGATTTGTGAGAAGCCACAGAGCACCCGGGCTTGTGCACCTCCAAAATAAGCAGGTAACCAGCCCCGGGAGTGCGGGATGTGGACTCGCTGCCCTGGGCAGCAAATTCCCTTCTCGGGCAAGAGGAGGTCACCGACTTGCAGCACAGGCGCCAGCTGCTCCCACCTTTTAAAGAGGAGCTCAAGCACACAACCCTACACGCACAAACTGTTTGTACTCCTATTTTCACGTTTTATATTAATTATTACTGCCTTGCGATTGCCAAGAGCAATTATGYCTGCCTTCGTGAGCGAGATGATCACGTTTTGGGGGCTCAGCTTTGTGAGAATCCTGTCAAAATACAATAAATAACATTTGATCGCACATGAACTGGCCTTCTTTTAACATAGGCTTTCAAGAGCCCTGAAGACAGGGCCCAACATTTCTCAGTTCTTCAAACTCTAAGCACATTATAGTTACTGACAAAAGCTTTTTGTTTTCAAAGCCTTCACTATAAACAAAAGAAACAAAACATAACAAACAAAAAAAAGCCACACAAGGGTTTTCTCTCCCTGAAAATAACAACTCTTGACAGAAAAAGTAAGTTTGGAATAACTCACCTAATGTTACATTGGTTTACACTCTTGCTGCTGCAAAAATATATCTAGGCAATTATTCTGGACAATTATATTGGGCATTTAAGATATCTTTTCCTGTGCCAGCAAGTTGGCTTTAATAAGTTGCTATTGTATATGTAATACATTCAGACTCAGAGAAACAAAATCTATATTTTACAGTGAGCTGCAAGCKATTCCATATGATTCACTATACCACAGATTGTTTTAAGAGATGTTTCCATCAGCCCTATGCCATTCCAGCGCTGAACAGATCTCATGTACCCAACAAATAATTACACAAAAGCACATTATCACAGTACTTAACTGACTTGCATAATTCAGAGCAAGAACAGAGCATCTAGAAACCAATAGCCAGGAGCTTGGCCAGTACTGTGGACTGCACATTTATAAAAAAGGCACCCAGCAATTTGTTCAGTCTAACAGCAAGCCTAACTTGCTATTAATAAACCATTGTAGGAACACGTTCCCCCCATCAGCCCTTCTAGGTACACAGTGCACCCTGAAAGCAAAAAGTGGCAGAGAAACCCACACTTGCTGAACACGAGGCCACACAGCTCTGAAATGCTTTCACTTACCTGAAGCAGCAAGCTGTTTTGGGGAAGAGACCCAAGGACCAAAGACAGATTAAGGCAAAGGAGGAGCCTCATGACAAATTCAAGTGCCTGGGTTACACAGCTGAACTGGAGCTTTCTGTCCTCACCCCTAAGACAACTCGGGCATTTTTCAGTAGAGCACCACACACAGCAAACACAGCCCTTGGGCAGATTTTGAATAGGTCACAGCAGACCAAGAAGCCACATCATGTTCAGGAAACATCTACAAGAAAGAGGAGCTTCCGCTAAGTTTTAAATTCAGAGGGAACCATCATCCCCTGCAGAAGCAAAAACTTGTTGACAGAGAGAGTCAGTGGTACCTTGTTCCTCTGAGAGATTGGGATATGCTCCTAGCAGCTGATTTCACCTTTACTTTGGAAAAGAAAATACACCCAGCACCTCACTAATGAGGAAGTTGTCAATTTTCACACTAGGAGCAGGATCTTTCCTGTTTCAGCTGAGCGCTACCACGRTTGGTCCTCCCAGGCCCCACAGTTTCAGAATCAGCCTCTTCATCATTCTCCATCTGGCCTTTTGACAGATTTTGACAKCCTCACCCCTGAATATATCACAGTCCAACTTAAAGACGATGATACAGCATGCTGCTTCCCAGGACACTGAAATCCTTGGCAGGTAAGAGCCAGCGTGGAGGCTGTGGATAGCACAGGTTGAAATCCAGTCAGGCCATGAGGGCCTAGACTCAGAGCTTCAGCTTCCTGAACCTGCTGGCCACCACRTCACTGTTCATAGGTGGCCAGCTGCACTGTTGCTATTAGTTCAGGTCAGGAAAGGCTTTCACTTTGAGAAGAGCAGGCAACTATATCCTGAAGTAGGAGACTGCCAAGGCTTCCTACCTAAGGGGGTTTCCTTGTGCATCCCAATTCAGCATTTAGCTGTCCCCACATGGAACAAGGAAATTGCAGTCCGGATGAAGAGACCTAACTTCTTCCAAAAATGTCACCAGCTTCAATAAGCACTTCTGAAGATTAAAAGCGTTAAGCACAACTCAAATGTTGCATCAATAGCGTGAGAGAAAACACACACATGAATATTCTCTTGCAAGTAAATCCAAAACTAAGAGAAAACTCAAACCCAAGCAAAAGTTTTCACATAGACTGCTCAAGACCTTTATCTCAGAGATATAAGTGACTTAAAAATATTAAAGATACCCTAATTTAAATTTTCAAACAAACCTCAGAAAAAGAAGAAATCCTCTCTGGGTTGTTCTGGCTGAGTTTTAAAAAAAGAAATCTGTATAAATTACAACACATAAGCAATGATTTCTCCTGAATGTTAATATAATCAAACTAAACCCAACCAACATGAAGGGAGAAAAACACTGTAAGCAACACACACATTGCTTACCTGGAAGGAAGGAAAACTAGGATAAACAGGAATTTTATTTCATCCTGGTAACACAGAAGTATTAAGATTTCCAGAGTTTCACCATGAACTTCCACTGACCTGTCAGTACGATTTAGGYGCTGAAACATTTCTATTCCTTTTATAAATAGAGATGAGGTAATTCCAAAAAGCCTATCAAGTGTAGCTACTTCCTCATTTAGAGGAACTATATTCTATACATGTAGCTGTAGGTGTCCTCAAAAATCTTAGTGCTGTCTCCCTTCTCCCACTACTTAGACTCCATTATCTGAGGCCCTTTCTCATCACAGCTGGCTGTATGTTATGGTTGGAAGGTTTCTGAAGCAAGCAGCATGGCTAATATTTGCTTGGATGATCCATAGCACACRCTTTCAGTTTGAGAGAAACATGTTGCAATTATTGCGTTACAAATTCAGGGGAAGAAAAAAATCCATCAATTAACAAGAAATAGCTTAAATTGACGATAGCTATTAATAGTTGATGAATTTGAATGCTTTCTGCAGGTGGCTGTTAAGCATAAAAATAATAAGTGCAAGACCTTCAAATAATGACAAGATCTTTTTTTCCCTAATGAGGGATATTTAATATTAGAACACTTCTGTTCTTAGAAAATTTTAATGCATTTGAACCCAGCTTGGCACAATTACTTGGCACAATTACCATGAAATCAACCAATCCAACAACTCCCTGGGAATACASCAGACTCGATACACCACTGAACAGCATAATGAAAATTAAATACCTCTTTATTGTCCCCGGAAGGTCCAAACTGAATGGGATTTGATAGGACAATGCTGAAGTTTCATCCACAGCCTTGCTTATTTCCTGTAGCTCTCTCAAAGAAACCCAGCCAAGCAAAGCACTCAGTTCACAGTCATGGGACTGAATAAGTCTGTCTTGCTCTTCAATTTCTCTTCTTAATTGTTGGTCTTTTGCTTCCAATACAGCCAGTCTTGCTCGGAGGTCTTCAATTTCGGTCTGCACAGAGTGGAAGTCTAGATTTATTGATTATCCCCATTAAAGAAAAAAAGCTTTGTTCCTAGAAAAACAGAGTACCAGTCTCAAAAGTAGCATGAATTAAGGTTGTGCAGCACACTTCAGCGCTTGCTTCTGGCAGCTTATAATTCTAGTGAACTTTAACAGAAATTGTTAATATTTGATGAGAGTTGGCTGAATTTTCTCAGAAGATTTATGGAAAAACATGGCTCTTTTTCAATACAATTCATTTCTTTTACTGCTAAAGGATAATAAATTATTTTGCTATCATGCAAAAATTCTACATATGTTGCATTTAGAAACACTAGTACTTGCACAATCTGAGTCTTCCCACTTAAAATCAAATTTCAAGTTCCTACTCCAACATCAACTGCTACAGGCACCTTTTGCCTTTAAAAATATGCCAGAATTTGCCAAGTTAATGAAATTCAGTAAAAAATCTGAATCTCAGTTGACATCTAATAACAGTATCATGTTTCAGACTGGCAGCTAAATCGAAGTCTACCAGCCCTATTGCAAAAATATCCTTGCAAKAGTTCCACTAGACTTCCAATGCAACATCAGATACAGGATGCAATGTCAGTCCTTTTTATATTATTAATTTCTATTGAAAGCATTTATAAAAATGTATCTTTAACTTAAAATGAGCAGTGCTTCAAATCTCAAGTACATTCATCCACACAGTGAAAATCCCATGTATTATGATACAGATATTTGTTACAAGAACACATCCTATTTTCCTTTGGAAGCCCAGAAAACATTCAATCTTTTGATCTTTCTTCAGTTTACATACATAAGTACACTCAGTAAATAAAGCACTTACATAAGGAGTTTGGGTTTTTGAGTTAACACAGTTACTATTTGGTCCTTGACTCATTTGTCCCAAAATTTGAAAGCTGAGGAAAAAAAAAAATTAAAGAATGGAAAAGTCTTGCTATCTAAGCAGYTGAATGTCATAGTGGATAATTTCATTCTGCTCCTAAATTTCTCAAATATGTGTGAAACTCAGCAAGCAACTTAAACTGGTGAACATTTATGGAGATAATTCTCCACATATAGCGGTAGATTGAATATTCCCATTTTCTATATGAACAAGAAGGAACTCTGAAGTGATATTTATTCATTCTCATCATAATTCAATGCTCTGATCATATTCAGTGCAGTAAAGGAAAAAACTTGGAGGTAAATAATTAGGCATTTCAAAATGATCATTATCCCGTAGCTTTTGACAATTCACTTCATCCTCTACTTGTAAAACAGYGATAAAAATATCCCTTCACCCCAAAGCAATGCTGCAGAGAGAAAATTTAGTGGTTTTGAATCTCTCAGATGCTGTGTTGATTAATGCTATACAGAGAGTCCATCGGCAAATGCATAAATCTGTATCAGGCATACAGAAAAAAGGTTCTGGGGCTGAATATTGAAAAACAAAGATAAAATGATATGATGGGATCCAAACAGGCACTTTTCGTCTTCAACAAAGTACCAGATGGAGATCCAGGGGGAAAAGAGTGTGTGTGTGTGTGTGTGTGTGTGTGTGTGTGTGTGTGTGTTAGATTTACCTTCCATAATACAGGCACACTATGCACAAGTGACATCCTTTGCTCTGCAAGTGCTTCACTTTGAAACCTTAACATTCTTCTGATGTTTTTAATGTGATCCAAGTGAAGTTTACTTTACAAATGCTCACTTTTAAAACAAACTTGTTTCCAGGTTTGCAGCAGTACAACAAGTTCCCCAAATCTCCATTAGTGYTTCTTAAAATGAGAAGCAGCAGTCCTTGTACCCTGGAGCCCTGGCTCAAAGAATTCAACTTATATCAGTGCTGTGCACTAGATGTGTCAATTATTTTCTTCATTTTTTTTTCTTTTAGATTTAGCTGCAAGAGTACAGAGTGGCCCATGTTCCAACTCACAGGCGTTTGTCAAGGAGATAAAGGTCAGCAGGCCAAAAACGTCAGTTTTGTTTCTTTTGCTCTCAAATCAAGCTTTTAACGTGCACGAAAGACAATTCTGTCCCTGCATTGCTAGTTTGGGAATATTGCCAAAATCTTAATAGGCCCTATTTAATACAAAGACCTTCATATTCTTTGAAAATGTTGTAATCGCTGCAATAAGCGGCCTATACGGGAACAGAAAGGAAGATGAACAGACTTTGATTTTACAACGTGCTTTTCATACATGTTTTAACGACATAAATAGATACCAGAAGCACAGAACTTCCAGGTACAAAGAGAAAACCACTGTGCTTGAGAATCCTGCACAGGCATTTTGGGAAGAATGGCAATTTTGGTCCGTAAATTGGAATTCTCTCTCATTCCTTTCCAGAAATGAGAAGAAGCCTTTGATACGCACTTGGTCAGGCTCCAGAGACAGATAAAAAGGACTTAAAGTCTCAGCGTGGAGCAATGGACGGTATTTGGCTCATTAACCGTAGCTGGGAGTGTTACTATGTATGTTTTAATTTAAACTGAGATTGCTAACATGACAGCTAGACACTATTGATAGCAGATCTCTCACTTCACTTCAGCAATGGACTGGTGATATCCACAAGGCAGGGAGCGCCTCAGAAACACTGATATGCACATTTTAGCTACTGTCACAGGGTTTTCTCATTACCGAAGGCAAACACAGACCTGAGGGGACAGTAGGGAATTGTGAAGAGGAGAAAGGAAGTGAGAAAAAAAATATATTTTCCAGTCTCAGGAGATTTTGGTCAGGATCAATCCTTAAGGCATGCTGGGAGCCATCACACACAAGCCTTCTCCACAATCTAGACTTCATAGGCATTTTGATCATATCATGCTTATAGATGGCATTCATGCACAAGGGTGTGGATAATTTGTCTCTAGTATCCCTACTGAGAAATAAAAATTCACTTGGATAAAGTAGAGGAAATATTAGCTGGCATAAGTACAGTAGTCTTCATCTGAATTATTGACATTGATAAGATTAAACTAGACAATGTCTGCTCTTACACACTGATTAAATAAATCCAAATAAGCAAACGTGATGAATAGGATGGAAAGACATTTCTTGATCTAAGATTTTAAATCTACCATCTAGATAATCTTGTCCATTTGTTTCTTTCTTCATATACATAGAGACAAACACACACACATATGTGTGCACACACAGATCACTATACCAGCAGATCCAATAAAGGAAGAAAAGCATACAAAAAATATGAGATTTCAAGAAAACGAACAGGAATGAAGAAAAACAGACTTTATCATTAGTTTTCCAAGATGTCACACGGCCAAAAGTTATCGCTAAGGCTGAAATTGAGGTAAAGGTAAGATCTGCACTAGAAAATTAACTCAGATTTATGAAGGACGGTGAAAAAAAGAGTTAAATTATGCTTAAAAGACTTGCAGATATTTGCTTGGACAAAAGCCATCTTAAAAACACTACATTTGCCAACCATTACCACATTTGACATCATGTGTCAGTGTAAAGTTATTGCTGGCAAATGCTGACTTCTCCACAATAACTGCTGCATCTTCATGAAAGGTAAAGATCTTTTTTTCCTAAACAAAAGCTGATTTATATTTCTACACTGATAATCAAATCTATTTGGAATTGGATGGGAGATGGCTTGCTTCAAAATACTTTTATCTTCAAATAAAAACTTCTGAAGCTCGGAAAAATGAAGAAAAATAGTTAAATTAGAAAAGAAATAGCACACAACTTAGCACACACAAGCCATTGAGTCTTCCAGTTCTGATTTTCTGTAATGAGATTAAGACAACTCCTGTGGCTGCCATCTCCAATCATCACTTAGWTTATCAGCTGGATTACAGCCAAGGCTCTAATTGCTACACAGAAGCAAAGTCACCATTACAATATTTTTTTTTTTTCCAATTCTGCCTGGCAGCTTACAATTTTTTCCCCATGAAGCACTGTTTCCTAAAGACAACTTTGCAGCCCCGTTACCTGCAACCGTTTCTTCTCTTGAAGAAGCTTGTTTCGCTTTGTGGCTGAAACCTGAATCCTCTCTTGGTAGGTAGATCTCAAAAGTTTATGYTCATTTTCTTGCCAGAGCTGGGTTTCTTCATTTGTAACTCTTTGAAAAATGACAAAAACTAAAAATTAGTGTAATCACTGGGTACCTACTTCTCAAAGACTTRAGAGAAAAGAATGCTATATACTACCTTCAGAGTATCTTAGAAAGATACACAGCTAAAGAAAAAGAGATTTTTCCTGGACATATCTTCCTTTATTGTATCAAACATTTACACTGATTTTGAAAAATGCTCAAGAAAAAGGAAAACTTATATAGGTTTCAGGCTTCCCTCAGCTACTTCATTTTTCAGAAATTTATCCATCACTGCCTTGAAAGAGGCAAAACTAAGGAGCGTAATTTCTATCAATATAGTGAAAAATCTCTCAGACACAAATTTAGAAACTTGCCAAAGCAATTTTTGCAGCTTCTGTCAGTTTTTCGAGCTCGCACTAGAGATCATCTGGAGTGTTTGCTCCACGATGCCAAATTTTATTTCACTTTTGCCCAGTGATTTCTTTTAAAATCAAACCTCCAAGTGGTCCGTAGAGCCCTCAGCTCCAGATCTCTACAYGGTTGGAGCTCAAGATAATCAGTGCATTACATTAAGTGTCAAGTTTCTAATCGACCTCTCAAAGTGCACCTGCAAACAATGCAAATCTCTTTTCTCGTGCACATTCCTACATGAGGGCAGGTGCAAACGCAGGGACAATTACATTATATATATGGAAATATATGCATGTACCTGGAAAGGAGATTTATTTAAATATCTTTTAGAGAAAGAAAAAACCACACACTCTCTTTTAGAGAAAGAAAAAACCACACACTTTCTATCCTACAAAGGACGTTTTTGAATCAGTTACCCATCATAATCTTGCAAAGAAACACGTTCATGCCACACACAAAGCATGCATCACAAAGCTGGTTTTAACATTATTAATCATGTAATTACAATCCCCATGCACAGATGTTTATCCAGTGCATGAAACAAGACATTCATGTCTTTTCTGCAGAGCACATGCACTTCTTCCCTACAGAAGGGAGCGCACACTAAAAAATAAAAACAACAACACTGTAAAAAAGGGAGTTCCAGGATAAATGGCATTAGCACTTAAGGAGAATGGATGTGGTGCCCGTGCATCAGTATTTCTGCAATCACAGGCTAGAACAAAGAGCCATCTGTGCGGGGCGGCCGGCCAGCGGCGGGTTCGCGCTGGCCGCCGTCACAGACCATTAGGACTCCAACCAAGCGCAATTCCCAGCGGCTCGGAAGCGCCCTTGGGTTAATAAGAGCTGCACCTTTATAGGGTGATGTGCAATACAAATGTCTGAAAAGCTGCTCAGGAATGTGGCATGATAAACAAACGGTATCCTCAAACTCCTTGAAAATCTAATCTGCTTGGCAGTGAGGAGACRGGAACAAAAGCTGTCTGATCTCACCAAGCCCATGCGCCTGGGCTGAACTTTGCTTGTAAAAGTTGCCCACATCACCTCCTGCTGACACTACACGGTCCCACCTAAAATTTCATCTCTTAATTCAAGGTGCAAAACAAAAGCAAGAGAAGAATTCCAGTCTTGAGCTTTAAAACCCATAACTTTCCAAGTACCCATTYCATTAAAAAAGTTCTTCAGCATGAAGAAGGACAGAGAGGCCCGATATAGGAAAGTTGCAATGTTCTCATCTTCTGGGGCTAGTCTGACTCATCTCTTTCATTTCCAGGGGAAGAGAAAAAAAAACAACAAAAAACCATAACACTCTTCCTCCTATCTTGGCTTTGCTCTGATTTCAGAATGAAAGCAAGAAGCCTACARGTTCTCCATGAAGAAGCAGCCCTGCTTTCTAGCCTGTCCTGCTTGCAACACTGATGGAACAGACAGGGTGCAGGCTCACTCCATCAACAGCAGGGTCAGGCTGCAAACAAAGCGATGTCGAACACAGCATCTCTAATGCTATTTTTCTAACGACACAGTAACAACAAYAGTCAAAGTCTAGCTCAAAGGGAGCAACGCAGGCATGGCACAAAAGTGAAGAGCAGGAAGAAAAGCATCTGACCCTGAGGAACAGCACTGTCCTTAGACCTGTGCAAAGAAAAGAATTACAAATACAATCAKCAGCAGCAGGAACAGTTTCATGACTGTATAGATTATATAAAATAAATAGTTAAAGCAGGCTGCATGTTTTAAGGATGCTTATTGAATCCATTTCTATGACATGTGAAAAAAACACTGCCTCTAAAGAAAAACTTTATTAATGCATAGAGGGTACGTGTATTGACAGCAAAACACAGATGGCTCTTTATGAATTTTTAGGTATCCTAATCTTAATCTTTATGGATTATTCAGTATCCTAATCTCTATGGAATTAAAAAGCAGCAGCTTCTTAGGACCTCAAAAGGTAAAAGGAAATAGCTCTGAGAGAACAGGGCCGGTTTTTAAATGTGTCTCATTGCAATAAACAGAGGCCAGAGAAAAAGTCTTTAAAACCTCAAACAATAGCCTCTCAAATCAATAAAATTCTCAGTTGATCTACTCACATACATCAAAAATGCACCCCTATCTACTGACTAGCAACTACAGACTTTATAAGCCCTGGCTGCCAGAAACAAAAGGGTTGGGTTTTTTTCTGTTATGCTATAGCATAGAACGATTTCCAATACTTACATAGAAACCAATTCCTTTTAATAAATTTAACCAATTGCTGAAGAATGACCCAGAAATACAGACAACTCTTTCTTCCTAAGCTAACTACTTCCCTTGGGTCATCCACTGTGCCTTAAATTCTCTCCATCTTTGTAGCTGTTATCTCTTCAAGGAAACACTAAGACTTGATTTCTGTGACTTTGTACAGCGCTGAGCCCATTGCTGCCACTTAACAAATGATGCATGAGAGGAGGCACCCAAGGATCTGCACATCTCAAAGAATCTATTTTTGCTCAATATTTAAATGTCCATCCATTGCCTGAAAATGAGCATCAGAATTAACTCTGTGGGGAGCCATCACTCAGGCTGCCTTGCTGGCGTATATTTAAACTGTTGTGGCAGAATTCAATCCTGTTCTCACTCAGCACAGCGAGAAAGGTGGCATTTAATTCATCAGTTTTTCACCACCTGCTTTCTTATGCCACTTCTGAAAGGGAAAGGTTGTAGGAAAAACAACAAAGATGGCACACTGATATGCTAGAAAGTCATTAAAATTCTGTATTCTTTTTTCCCARGTTGCATTCAGTGTTTCAGGAAAAATGAAGTGTCACTTTATATGATAAGAAACCAACAAACTTACCGCTCTATGGCCCAGTGCAGCRTTGCTTGAACTTGAGTAGCAAATCTGTCCAAAAAACTGCTAACTGAGGGATGTCTTGAAGGAAGCTGAAATTTCAAAGAATTTCTCTCTTTCTCCAGTTCTTCCAATTTTCGTCTAAATTTATCAGCTAGATATTAAATTTCCAAAAAAAAAAAGCTAATGTTACTTAACAGTGACAAAAATTTTCTATTTTACATGAAGCAAAAAACACAGAACATAAGTCAATGAGAAATCAAATGCACCCCACAGATAGTGCCTTCCCTTTTCATAAAATATTTCAGTCTCTTATCATCTAGGTTCAATTTACTAAGGCTACCATGGACAACATCAGRTATCCAGAGTACTGTTTTATTCTTCAGTAACAACAAAACTGCAGACTTCCCACCATTTTCAGAGTTGTAATTTGATAAGACTCCAAAAATTTTGCTCACGGCTTTCAACCATGCTGTTTTCCTAGACCAACAACTCTGAACTAAATTCCAAGAAAATCCCTACTCTCTGCTGCTCCATTTTTAAACAAATCAGAGAGGTCCAAAACTGAGTTTTTAAAAAATAGCACTATTAGAGCAAGAACTAGAAGATCAGCAATGATAGCTTAGCAACACATTTCAGCAGAAAACACACATGTGTTTATAGAAATTTAACCAATAGTCTCAGTTTAGGCTCTCCTGAATTACATCTAGTTTGCCAACCAGCAAAATGATTTACTTTCAGCTTCAAGGAAAAACAACTGTAGGTCCGTAAGAGTGCTTTGATTCTACCAGAGGTCCACAAGTTTCTTAGATTAAATGCTTCTCTATAGACATTAGTTGTTATTTTGTCTTCCTTCCCTACGTATAAGACAAAAGAGTATAGTTTCAAGTACAGAAGATTATTTCTGATATGTTTAATCTCTATAGAACAAGTGTATTAGCAGAAGCATACACACATCAGACAACAAGCCTTTTCGATCCAAACCAGAACACCTTTGATGGTGTCAAATGGAGAATTTTGAGGCAGGCTGCAAACAAAAAACCTTTACAATTTAGTATTTGTGGCGTTGCTTGTGGCGTTGCTGTCTACAATTCTGTGCGATTAGCATGCCTTTAACATTTTCAGTACATTACTAGCAAAACAAGGTTTATTTGTGCATGCTCTTTACTGCCTATTTTCTTCATCCTGAAAGGAGGGGTTGTTTTCCTTTTCTTCTTTTAGCGAAATGGTCTATTTTTACAATAACCTATCATCAGTATTATCTCTCTTCTGCTTCTGTGCAGATGAGATAGAAAAAAAAAATCACAAGTCGCATCTACTAATACCTAAATGCTAAAGGATAAATATTTTCCGTAGGCCAGTGCAATTAAACTGATATTGTTATTTCTTATCTTTTGTCATAGATGCGGGCAGAGGCTCTCGCTGAGATCAGCCCCACACTTCCCCAMAGGGAAGAGGCTCTGCCCCACCAGCCTTCACACATGTGCCCGTGCAACCCGCACAAAGCAGACCCACGTTTTCCTTGGCAGGGCTGGCACGGAGTCCGCTCTGCCCACTGCGGTGCTAACACSATCTTGGATGCAGAGATGTGAACAGGAGATCTCCCCGCCAGCAGCCCCAGCCGTGTCGGGGCCGCGCAGCCCGGACGCCGGTTTCTGCGGCCGCACRGCTCTGCCGGCAGCTCCCACCCGTGCCCCCGATACTTCAGCTGGCCTTCAGAGTTGCTGCCCCGAGCTGGGCTCGCCGCTGAGAGCCACACGGAACGGCCACACTCAATGGCAGAGGGAGGAGAGCAGAAGTGCCCGCTCGCCTTCATTCTCTTCAAGTTTCCYGAGCTCGTTTTGGGGAAGCACCTGCCCACCACTCTGATGTGGGGCGCACGAAGGGCCTTTATTCTGAGGAAAGCAGCAGGCACAACAGGAATGGTCCATCATTGGCTTTGGGGTGCTCATCACCTATTTAAGCCTCCAAGAAAACATTCCTGCCCTTTTCACCTATGGCTGGGAGTCCTGAGAGGTATTTGCGCAGTCTAACACAGTGTTCCTGCACGTGAGAGGAAAGAGAAAAAATTGCCCATGTCAAATCTGTACCTAAATTAACATCTGAGCTGGCATGACRTGCCTTGAAGCATCATCACTGTCAGATGTTTTCTCAGGGTGGTCACGAATAACTGTAGCTGGTCCCAGATTCCTGCACTGGGAACCTAACCCTAGTTGACTTGTTCTGCCCATACTCTCACCCTGTAGCGTTGATCCACGTCTGCTGCTTGTTTTTCAAAAATTAGACTTCATTGGAAGAGAAAAGTGAACATATCTTCACTACACACTGAAAAAGAACTAGTTCAGAGATACATTTTCAGCTGTGGAAGTGTATTTCTCAGGGCCCACAGCTGAACAAATCCCCTRCCCTTGCCATCACAAGGAAACTGCACAACAAGCTCCCATAACATGGCACATGGGAACATGGTGGGAAAAGACACTGCTCAGAATCCATCAAGAACCTGGTTATAAGCGAGGACCAAAAGAAGGATACAGTCATTTATGGCCTGGCATTTATTGCCTTATTAGGGAGCACAAGGCATTCAAATGCACAGCCTTTTGGATACAAGTATATAACACAAAACTCCATATTCAACCCATCAATAGGATGCACAGGGACAGACCTGCCGAAAAAAGACTCTTAGACCATTCTGTCACTTGACTATTAGATTGTTCAAATATGTGTTTTTCTTGATCCTAACCAGAAACCTTGACAACAAAAACATGAGGGAACTGCTGCCCACCAGCTCCTGCACACCTCGGTTACATTTTAGTAGGTAGGACTTTTGATGTTGCCAGAACCAAGAGAAGTGCAGTACATTGCTCTCTTGATATTAGAGGAGATGCATATAGGCAAAAAAGAAAAATTACAACGGAGACTTCAACGAGGCCCAAAGCAGGGCAAGGTGCTATACCTGCATTTTRACATAGAAAAAAAGGTCCACGTATCCTGACTACAACCACACGATATGAAACAGAAGTTAGGACACCAGTTTCTTTAGACTCTTGTAAGAAAGTCTTAAGTAATTTTCTTTACCTAGGGCTCTCTGCCACAGCATATGTGCAGACAAGTGACGGCAGACAGCAGGGGACAACAGTTACCATCAGTGGGGGAAAGTTTTAGGCAAGGGTGTAAGAGCTGTCTTTTACAGACAAAAGAAAAAGGCAGTAAGGACATGCCCAAGAACCAACCTAAATCAAAAAGTCCACAAAAAGTTGCATCACACAGACTTGTGGGCTTCATGTCAGAAGCAATATATAGCCAGAACTTCTTCTGATAYGTGTAAATGTACTGCATATATACCTAGTAGCCCAGCTCTGGAAAGAAATGCCAGGTGATCTTGCATGATTCAAAAAAGTAGGCAGGACTTTCCTTCTTAAGACATCTCTGAAGTCACTACTTGTCAATAGCTCCACAAGACRTGAGGGTCTAGGTGAGACACTCAAGTCAGTACTTTAGAAAGAAAAATAAAGATTAGCATTTAGCTTCTATGGGAAATTTCAAGCACAGACATCAAAAAATACAAAAGAGGAGGAAAGATTAGATTGTGACCAATGACCTCATAATGCTACAACATGTAGGAATTACCTTCCTTTACTCAAAGCTCGTGCTCCTGGGCTGCCTGCACTGGAGCTCTGCGGACCCTTCGCAGCTGCCAAAAGAGAGGTTGAGCACACGGGAAGACTGACTTTCCCCTACGTAGGGGCAACACTGCAGGACTTGTTGCAAAGCCTCCCAAGGGCTCACTTAAAATAGCACCATCACCAACCAACAGTCTTCAGGAAAGATTTCAAGGCCAAACTGCAAATTAGGGTACTAGTAATGGCTTGGAGAGAAGGAAGAAACTGGTTTATGTTCGAGCTGACGTCTTACATAACRCAAGAAATATGGGGCTATTCTGAGATTCATGTGACAGGATTTTGAGGTACTACTGTGACTTAAGCAAGCAAAAAAATAGGGGTCAACAAAACAGGTTTATGGAAGATTCCACACTATAAGCCCCAGGTGCTCCAAGGGAAGGCACACYGCTCTCCTCTGTACCCAAGGCAAACAGTTGGAAAATTTGCATTGAAGGAAAAACATATTAATAAAATCCATCTTATGACACTAACTTTCTTCAGCATAATGACACTAACTCTGTGTTTGTGTCCAGCTGTTCCACAGTTTTACCCTTAAGCATCCTAGGCCTAGAAACTGAGGCTATTTTGGGAAGGAAAACAGATAAGTGAATCCACATGCCAATTGGTTCTCTCTTGTTATGTTAATTCTTGGCTGCATCCTGCTTTATATATTCCAGTCTACCAAATTTAATTAGTTTCCACTAACAGACATTTCTAAATAATTTGTTCCAATGGTATTTTATAAACTGCATTGCTGGCCATATCCACTTGCCATGTCTCAAAACTGGATGATTGTTTATCCTTTCAGCATTGTCATTAGGGGTTATGTTCAAACTGATGCCAGCTGTACCAGCTTTGAGCACTGCAGCACTAGGGTTTCAGGCTCTTCCTCTTGGGCTCCCTTTTGGGAGGCCACTCTGTTTAACCTTGCTGATGCCTTTAGTGCTTGGAGAGATAAAGGCACCTCAGTGCCAACTGCTGGGCAAGGAAGCAGGCAAATAAGGCTCATCTCAGTCCAGTTTTCAAAGCTGAGGTTCAGGAGAGATTTGGACCAAGCAGAAGTCATGGAAATGATCATAAGTAAGTCTAGGACACAYATCATGCAAAAAATGATGCAATAAGCAATGTTCCTTAATCTAATGTAGATAAACACTGAAGGGAATAACCATCAGTACTAGTATGCATTAGGAAGCTGCAAAGAAAGAGGTTAACAAAACAGTTTTCATGTTTAAGAACTGGGGTCTTCAATAACAGACCTGAATTACAGAAAAGGAGATCACAAAAAATGTATTATATATATATGTATGTGGGTATATAAAACAGATGGCAAAGCACTAACACTAACTGCATGGGAGACCAGGGAACTTCCATCTGTGGGGGTTTACAGGTCAGGAAACATCTGTCACAGATAACTTAGACATAGGTTTTAAGGCTGAGCTCAGCAAGATAACTGAAGATGTGTTCTTGTTGAGGTCCCAACAAGAACATGTCCTC